GTCACTCATAGAGGCTATTGTGGACACAGTATTCTGGGTTTCTTTCTGCAGCTTCTAGTTTCCAGCCACATAGGCTTGGCATGTATAGATATGTATGTATGTGTGTATATCTTCATTGTAGCCTTGTAGGCTAGCTAGTACCTTATTATCTTTGGCTTGTCTACCTTTGTCTATATGACTTACCGATATTCAGGTTATGACCTTAAGGGTCTAGTCATAGTATTTTAGATGTTATACTGCCCGGCCTTCTAAGCCATCAGTTGAGTCAGTTGGTATGTTTATGTGATTAGCTCGATTGCTTAAGGTGTCGAGTGCCAGTCACACCTTCTCTAGTTTGGGGCGTGACAATTATTGAGTTTAAAAAGTGCATGTATAATTACATATAATATTTTAATTTTATATATACAGTTAATACTGACAAAAAAATTACCTTAATCTATGTGCGATGAGGATATGTTCTTCAAAGACACCAAACATTATTCTAAAGAATTCTTCTTATTTTAGTATAATGAAGATTAATAGCATATGTGGCATGTGTTGAAATGATATTTGTTTTAATTAATAAAACTTTAAATTCAAAGATCAATCTATAAAGTATTAAAAATATGATTCTGCTTTTAGCTAAAATCTATATAAATAATAAAGGAGAAACATAGAGAAGGTGATGTGGCACCTCTCTATGATCTCCATTTGCATTTTTTTTTCTCCATTTTTTGACCTTTTTTTAAAATTTAAATTAACTATTTTATTGTAAAAATAAATTACTAAATTTATGATAAATAAATATTTTATTAAATAAAAAAACATTTACAACAAAAACTCTTCATATGTCTACAAGGAGTAACTCACACCTCTCTAATTTCTACTCTTACAAAATTATTCCTTTTTTTATCTTCTTCTAATTATAAATTATAAATTGACAATATTTTTGATACTTTAAGTATTTTTCTAATATTATTTAATTTGTTTATAAGAAGTAATTATCTATGACTTACACCTATATTTAATATATAGATCCTCCTAGAACCTTCTTTTTCTTTTTTTTTAACAACTCTAAATATTTGATTTTCTTCTCTTCATGACCACAGTAATATTTATTTTATGTAATGAATTAGTAATTACAATACAAATTACTTATATTAGGCTATCACTTCAATACATTCCAATAGTCACTTTTTCTCTATCACATTTTCTATAATTTTAATGAATATTAAATGTGGTATTCATTTAGAATATAAATGTTCAATCTTTATTTGTATATATAAATCAAACAAGACAATACTCATATGTACTGTACTGTTTTGCAAAAGTTTTGTTTTACTTTTGATAGCATTTGGTTTTTTTAGATTTTTCAATTATGATTTTTCTTTTTAGTCCTTTAATATATTTTTTCTTGAATAAAATTTGCTATCCTTCTCAACATGTAGCATCTTATTGTTTAACTTCACATAAAAGCAGCCACACTTGCACAGATGAATTCCCTTTGATATCCTGCTGCTGATTCCTTTTCTTCATGTTGCATTTTTGGTGGATTAAATTGGTTAGCTCCATGTTAAAGTACATGGCCTAATGTACATTTTTGTATTAAAGTAATAATTTTTATTGTTCGGGTGGTTTTCTTTGTTCATGATTCTCATTGTTTTTCGTTTAATATGATTGGAAGTTTGCC